GTTCCACATGTAAGCTTAAAGAAAAGTATTTTGCTCACGAATTTCCTTGAACTCCAACTCACCCAAGCAATGAATGTGGTCCCTCACGGTGCAGTTGGCAATGTAACGCTGCCTGGGACAGGACACCGTCATGCAGCTGGTGGAATTGGAACACTCATAATCGGTTTCTGGAAGCTGCCAGCAAAACCTGCAAGTCATGTTGATGATGAAGTTCTTTTGGGATTTGAAGTCTTGATCCTGTATGCCAAAGGACAGAGAATGAATCTATCATAACAGTTCGTTAATATGTCAATAAAAATACAAGGCACAAAACTCCTAAAAGACCTGTGAATAATACTAGCAGAAAGTGGGAGGAAAATAGGTACCAAACCAGTATGTACGCAAAATAAACGTACACAGTATGATCCTTTTGTCATAAAAATATACACCCAAAAATATATGCCTAAGGAAAAAAACCTACATAAATTTACATCAAAATAACAAAGGTTATTCCAGGATGGTAAGATTATTTTACCACTTTCACTTGGCTAAATTTTTCATAATTGAGCATGGGTACTTTTATAATACATAAAGAAAAAAGGGAAAATGTATTTTATCAAGCCACAGAGTCACAGGGAGCTGGAAGGACAGATAAGTACATCTGTTCAAGGTCACTGAGCTGCAAGTTATGTGCAGGACCCATGGTCCCAAACCCCAGTCTGACGCTCCCAGAAGTACAACACATGGACTGGCTGCCAAGTCTCAAATCCTCCTGAATATCTCCACCAGGGCCCAGGACCTCCGGGCTGTTACTGCTGCTCACACCTCTACTCAGTATAATCAACCAACAGGTCGCCCCAGAAAATCACTCTTAACTTTGAAAGAGCCACATGTTGAGATTCAGCCAAGTGTTCATTGCTGGCACTAAGCTTTTAAGACTGTAGATTTTTTTCACTTCAATTTAGAAAAACCATTATTTTGTTTTCTCTTGGAAGAGTAGCACTTGTTGTGTGCTGCATCTTTGGAAATTACAGGAAAAAACCGGTAACCTCTCCAGAGAGAACTACTTTTAATCTTTCATTTTTAATTCCTATAATACAGATTTATGTAAGTGCAATTATACTGAAAGCATTTTGTATCCTTTTTTCCCCACTTGACATTATAATGTAATACATAGTTTTCAAAATCATTTTTAAATGGTCAATCATCTCTGGAAGTATAAATTTACTAATTTTTTTGATCAATGCAAAACTGCGGTTTATGAATAACATCCAAAACTGGGGAAGGCACCATTTGATTTAGGCAGTATCGTCTGAAACATCTGTGCATCTCTAGTGATGCACTGATAATGCACGCTTCTTATCAACTGTTTTTTAAACATCATAGTCGTTTAAATGTGGCAAATGTGGTACAGATTCCCAGACGAGACAGGAGCAAGGGGGAAGCTGGTCGGTCCTGTCTAGCCATGAGCAGCCACTGCCCTCCCCAGCAGCAAGCCCTGCTTAGTCTCTGGCCTTCCGGGGAATCTATTCTATGCATGAGCATGTTTATGTCAGATATATTTCTTTTTTTTAATTTAACCTTCCCACTGATAATTCACTTTTCACTGAATTCTCTAGCTATCAGTAAGTATCTTGAGAGCTGCCTAGTTCTTTTTAATAGCTGCTATTTATTTCATTTCATAGTGAATCATAAACAGTTCTCTCCTGGACATTAAGCTTGTTTTAAATCTCTGTCCGGCTGAATAACGCAGCTAAGAATATCCTTAGGCATATTTATTTGCATCCACGTACAGTATCTGTAAGATAAATTCCTGGACGTGGAATTGCTGGGACAAAAGATATATACATCTGTAAGATTCACGGATGTGACGATTGCCTACAAGAGGCTGACCAATCTGCCCACCCACTAACAAGACAGTGTCCCTTCTGTCCTCATGCACTCAGAGTGTTACCAAGCTTTTTTATTTCTTTGCCAGCCTGATAGGTTTAAAAATACATCCACTTACATTTCTTTAATTATGAGAAAAATTAAACATTTCTTCATATGTCGAAAGCCCATCTGTATTTCCTTTCCTCTGAGCCATCTACTTATGTCCTCATACCATTTTTCTATAGCACTGTCATGTTTTTCTCATTGGCTTTTAGGAAATCTTTACATATTATAGATATTAGTGCATTAGTTGTCACAGGTGTGAGAAATACTTTTTCCTAGTTTGCCATTGATCCTTTGCCTTTATGCTTTTTAAGGTCATTTTTAGCAGTCGAATGTATCGATTCTTTCTTTTACGGCTTCTAAGTTTTATTTCATATTTAGAAAAATATTTCCTACTTTGAGATTATAGCATAACAATCAAGCTTTCTCTGCTTACCTTGTGGCTTCATTTTATTACATTAAATTTCTGATCTCTCTGAATTTATTTTGGACAAGAGAGGGATTCCACTTTTCTCCCCAGAGCAACCTGGGCATCCCAGCACTGACTGAATCCATCTTCTCTCCAGAGAAGTACAGACCCCCTCAAAAGCTTATATATAGTAAAAAGATGTTATCTTTCCCTCTGTGAAACAGCTGTCATTACTAAGAGCCCAGAACCCATCGGAAGAAATTACACCTGCTTCAGATACACTAGCAGTCTGATAGCTTCTCCAAGTAATGCAAAACAACATTTCTGACAAGCACACTTCCAGCGGACATCAACTGGAGCAGGAGTGATAGGACATGGCAGGGGATGCAGGGTTTTTACATTTATTTCTGTAAAAGAATCCAGGTGAGATTCCCTTAGCCTGGGAGTTCTTATTCAGCATGTCTGGAGAAGGACTAGAAGAGTTCATTTTTTGGCCAGTAAGTTCAAAATAAGAGGGGGCAGGGAGGCACCTGAGTGCAAGCATGTGCAGATGAGAGAAAATAAGCATCTGCATGCTTACACGGGGATGGTCGTGGATGATTCCTTCCTGAAATGGTAACTTATTTACCAAGAAGGGACCCTACAGATCTTCGTAACACAAATAAACACACGTGACTTGCCCTGGCTCACCAGGCAACAGTGGTCCCAGGACCCATGTCTGCAGGCAGTCAATTCATGTTTTTACTGCTCTCCACTTTCAAGAACAGACCACACTCTCTTGGGGCAGACTTCCAAGTCCTACATCTGAGGACGGGGCACCTGTGATTTGACAGGACTCAGGGTCACTGGCCAAGGGAGGAGGCAGGTGATGTGAAAGCTCCTGGAGGAGGAGAGAAAAAAATCCCGCCCAGGACACATCTCAGCCAGGGCCTGAGCACGGCACCAGGCACCATGACCGAGGAGTTCAGAAACTTCCCTTAAGCGTTGTAACTTCTCTCTACCTTTGTTATTTTTCCTATCTTCTGCTATTTCCTACTAAATGAAACAGTTTATTTTGGAAACATCTAAAGAAGGAAGAAACTGAGTATCCTGTCTCACCCAGTAACCCGTGCTGGGAGTGAACATCAAAGCCTCTGAGGCAAACCACAAAGGAGGCTAATTCTGGAAGAGTTCCCCCATTTTTCACAAGTACCTACTATCTGTCAGACCTATGAGATAACATTTTTTATTTTTACATTGGAGTACAGCTGACGCAGAATGTTATGTTAGTTTCAGGTGGAGAGAACATTTTTCAAAGCCTTCAAATTAGTAAGTTTCACCATTAGGTAATTAGGGAGAATACTGTATTTAAGATTCAGCAACAAAGACTAATAATTCAAGGGCAGTCATGAACACTATCTGGCACGTACGCTCAATTTTCCGGTGTGCTGATACAAGATATAAAACGGCAATACTTAAGTTTTATGAAAACTAAACTGAGACACTGAGAGCACAAAATCTTTTTTTTTTTTTTTTAAAGATTTTATTTATTTATTCATCAGAGACAGAGAGAGAGAGAGAGAGAGAGGCAGAGGGAGAAGCAGGCTCCCAAGGAGCAGGGAGCCCGATGCTGGACTCGATCCCAGGACCCCGAGATCATGACCTGAGCCGAAGGCAGACGCTTAACGACTGAGCCACCCAGGCGCCCCTCTTGTGTTCTTGTGTAATGTGGGCAACTTCATGTTATCATGTGAATAAATTCCCCTATTTTTCTTCTCAGAGCCCCGTTTGGAAGTCCTATTTTGTGTTCTATTTAATGTTGTGTGGTCTGACAGCCAGAGGGAAGGCAGGGAAAGCTCAGCTGGAACTACCTTTCCAGAATACCTAGTCTCTGGTCTTTTTACTGAGATTTTCAACATGTTTCTCTTCCCCTCACTAGGAAGTGCATTTCATGACCCACGGAGGTCACCTTGGGCTTTGGAGCCTTTCTCTGGTTTAGTGTGGGACCCCCATATCCATCAGAGAATCCGTGCTCCTGGTCCAGAAGCCCCCTCCCCTGTTTGTTCCCAGCAGCCCCTTCCGCTCCCCGCTGCAGTAACCCGGGAAGGATGAAGATATGCCCCTTCCCCCGACCAGTCTGTTCCTCTTGCGAGTCAGTTGCTGGATTTGGCAGATTCACCAGGACCATTTGCGGGAGTAGCTTGGCACACCCGAGCAAAATTTTTTTCTTCTCTGACCATTTTTTGACATTTTTGACATTTGGTTGTCTTCTTCCTTGTTTGCTGATGGGTTCTTTCTGTTTGTTTTTTGCAGGAAGGAAGTGCCAGTATTACTATATCGTGTTTGTGTCATCAGGCATTTTTTGCAAGGGAGCTGTTGTAAGCCACTTTATCCAGACATTCTTAGGAATACTTTTAGAGATTTAGCTTACTTCTGGAGATTCCCCATTATTCACTCTTTGAACAAAGTCACTGTGCACCTACTGTGTGCCACGTAGGGACCTCAAAGGGGGCTACAGCACAGCACCAGAGCCCTGCCCTCATGGAACCTCCTACTTAGTAAATTACGTCCAAGTGTCTCAATCAAAGCTTCCTTATTTTGCATAAAAATGTGTTTGTAAAAGACAATGTCAATACTCCAAATTGAAGGATTTATACCAAATTCATCTAGGTTACAAATTAACTTACATACCCTCCAACATTCTGTGACCCTTCCAGCAGATACAGTATGGCCAGAAAGGAAGCTTCAGAGCAGAAGGGAAGGAATCTGCCTTCATTTTTAAGGTCCTGATGTTGTATGTGAAAAGCTGCATCAGATACAGCTCGTTTTCCACTCTTTGCTTATGGGAGGAGTTAAAATCATTTGCAAATTCCTTAGCTGATGATATGCCAAAAATAAATGCAATTCTGGCAGGAAGTATTAAAGACTTGTGGCA